TCTTTTTTATTTTTTCTATCTTTATTATTTATTTTTTCTATCTTTATTATTTACCTTTTCTATCTTTTTTATCTTTATTATTTATCTTTTCCACCTTTATTATCCTTACTTTCTACCTTTTCTATCTTTTTCTATTTATCTTTTTTATCTTTTATATATATTTTTATAATTTTATAATATAGTTAGAACTAAAATATTTTGTATAAATAGAAGTATTATCTCTATATACTCTTTCATATTTTAATCTCATGTTTTAATACTAAGACAAATTAATAAATTTTAATCTTGATACAATAAGTCAACAATTATCTTATTGTTATAAAATTAATATTTATTCTTGTATCTTCTTCTATCAAAACAAGTTGCCTAACAAAAATAATTTGTTAATTGAACTTCAAATCTTGTAATTCAAGTCACTTTTCATAAATCTTAAGCAAAATCAAGAAACTGAATATTGATTTATATAGAATTGAATTTTCAATTATTACTTTTGTTTTTAAATTTGAAAAAGATGATAAAATTATTTTTTGAATAAATATATTAATTTGCTATAGCATTATTTTTGATATAGTTATGTATCACAATTTTAAATATGTGATATTAATTTATAAAGTTGTATACTGTAATTCTAAATAAGTGATATTTCTTTTAGTTATTTATTTTTTTTTGGTATTAAAACACTAGAACATATGACTACAAATATAGAAATATTAATACTCTTTTTTTTAATTAGTAACTCTTATTAGTTAATTATCTCTTTGAACACTTTCTCCCAACTCCTCTTTTTATTTTTGATAGAATTATTTAACAATTTCTGTTAAAATTAACATAAATTTAGATATTTATTTTTACACTGATCAATTTTATTAGTCTATTTCTCTCTTTCTACTCATATAACTCTTTTATTAATAGTAAATAAACTCTTCATTTAAAGTAATTGTAGCAGTATTAAGATGTATTAAAAATTTTTATATAAATAAGAGTGCTATTTCAATATATTTTTTCTTTCATATTTAAATAAATTAATATATTTTTATTTTTATTCTAATAAATTAACTAATTATATTTTATTATTATATTATTAATATTTATTTTTATCTTTGTTCTATTAAAAAAGTTATTTGATCAAAATATATATTTATAAGTATAAAAATATTAATACTTTTTGTTTTTAATTAGTATTTTTTATTAGTTTATTTTTTTTGAATATACTTTTATAATATCTCTTCTTATTTTTTAATAGAATTATTTAAAAATTTTTGTTAAAATTAATATAGACTCAAATATTTATTTTCATACTGATTAATTTATTAGTCTATTTCTTTTTTTTAATTTATATAATTCTTTTACTAAAAATAAAAAAACTTTTTATTTTAAATAATTATAGCAATAATAAAAATTATAGTACAATAATAAAAATTATAATATAATAAAAATTATAATACAAATTACTAACTAGAAATAATATAATATTTCTATAATTAAATAAGTAAATTATTTTTATTAATTTAATAATTTTCTATTATTTTGAAAATTTTCATATTTTCTGCTATTTTTTTAAAAAATACTTTAATTAATAAATTTTTGAAAAATATATTATTTTTGTATTTTATTATATATTTTTAATTTTAACTTATAATATATATTTTATTTTTTGTATTATTTATTTAATATTTAAATATATATTATTATAAATTTGTTCACTAATCATTAAATTAGCTTGCAAATTTGAATTTGAATTAGAAGAAAGTGATAAACTGATAAAAATATTAAAAAAAGAAAGAATATCTAAAATCTATATTAATTTCTATAGAAATTGTGTTTACTTAAAAGAATAATAATATGGAAGAGTTGTAGAAGAGTAAAGATCAAAGAGAAGAAAGAATATAAAAGAATAATAAAAGAGATTTAAAAAAAAGAATAATTCTCTATAATCATGTAAAGCTTTTCAAAGCTAAGATAATATAATTAATAATAACAATAACAAAGATTCTTTCACTTTATTCTTTTTATAAATAAAGAATATTTATTAATAATCAAAAATTCAAATAATAATAAGTAAAATACTTATAATTTAATTCAATAATTCTAATATAGTAATTTGTTTAGTACAATATAATATAAAGCTCAATAATTTAATAATAGCAATTTGTTAAATATAATATAATCTAAAGTTCAAAGTTAATAACAGCAATTTGTTTAGCACAATATAATATAAAATTATTAGTCATTTATTAGATATAATATGATATAAGATTACTTATATATAAGCTTTAAAGTGTCTAAAAAAAATATAAAAGATGAGAGATATTTGGAAGAAGATTTTTATTAAGAGACATTTTTATTTTCAATTACAACATGTTGAGTTAAGATTCAGATAACATCTCTATTATATATTTTTTAAAATATAATTTCAAATAATAATAACTATAGTCAAATTCTTCTATAGTCATATCCATTTATAATTACACCTATCTATAGTTACTCTATTTTGCTTTTTCATTTATATATAAATATAATAAAAAAAATTTTTTATAGTCACATTTCCTTTATAGTTACCAAATTTTGCTTTTCTGAGAGTAATAACTATAGAGAGGTTTGACTATATTTGATTGATAATAAAATAATAAAAAGAAATAACAAATAATGAAATAAATAATGAAAAATAATAAATGATAAAAAGTGATAAAAAATGATAAAAAATAATTAAACTAAAGAAAATAATGAAAAATTGATGAAAAATGATAAAAAGTAATAAAAAATAATAAAAAGTAATAAATAATAATAATAGTGAATAATTAAATTAATAAAAAATAATGAAAAATAATGAAAGTAATAAAATATAATAAAAAGTGATAAAAAAATAATAATAATCAATAATAAAAAGTGATAAAAATAATGAAAAATAAAAAATAATAAAAAGTAATGAAAAGTGATAAAAAGCGATAAAAAATAATAATAAATATTTAATGAATTATTTTTGTTATTTCTTAGAGTTTACTATTTTTAGAGATTTTTTAATATTTTTAATTATTTTTTAAATTCAAAATTTTCTTTGAATTTACGAAATTACTGTTATCATTATAATAATATTTAATATTTATTTTATATTTATATTTTTTTTAATATATTATTATTAATTATTCACTATTATTATTTATATTTCTTTTATTTAAAATCTGCTATAAATATAATCATTATTAGTTATTTTTAAATATTTTCATATATTAAACTAGAAATAGTAGCAAATTTTTGGTGCTCTCTTTATAAATGATTTTTTAAAAAAATTATATTATTACTTTCGAACTAGATAAACAAATTATTCAAGTTAAAATTATCTATTAGTTCAATCTTTTTAAAATATATTAGTACTCAAAGAAGTATATACAAAAAACAACTTATATTAACTTGTTAAAGTATTATATATTAAATATCAAATAATTAAAATAATAAATCTACTAAAGAACAACTCTATAATTGGTTGCTCACATATATAAAGTTATCAAAGAACCAAGTATTTTATTATTTAAAATAAAGAGCAAATTCATTAGTATTATTATAATTATTTAAAATAATATTATATCTGCTAATATCATATCAATTAACAAATCAACAACTTATTATACCAGAAATAAGAAATTACTTTTCTGAGTGGCTAACTAGAACTAAACAAAGAATAAATTTTTGCTTTATTAAAATTAATTTTTTCATCCGCTTTAGCATATTTATTATTTAATTCAAATTTTGATAACAATAACAAAAATGAGATAATTCTTGTGCAAAACAACTTATCATTGAAAGATGAATTAGAAAATTCAATAAACATAATGAATTAACAATCACAATAATAATATTAATAGTAATAGCACTAATAATTACAACAATAACATCAATAGTAACAAATTAATAACAACAACAATAGCAACAGTAGCAACAACCACAGCAACAATATCAACAACAACAGCAGCAACTATCATCACAATAACCTGATCCTCAAGCTCAATTAGCTATAACTTTATAATAATTGGCACTTGTATTAGCAGTACCACCTCAACCAGTAGCATCACCAGAATCAACTTTGATACCTCTTCCAACTTTCAACAGCAATGAAATAAAAGATCTAGTTGCCTGGCTCAATAAGTTTGAATGAGCAACAAATGCTAATAATATTTCTGATATTTGCAAACAACAAATTGTATTGTAGCAAATTGGTTCCAATGATAACAATAATTAGATAATCAAGATCTCATAATTGGAATCAAAATAATAATTCATTTAAAATAGAATTTTTCACATTCATGGCAAATCCATGTACACGTAATACCGATACGAATATTGCTGGATCGATTAATCATTTAATGCTAACTAACGCTAAATATGAAGCAGAATGACTAACTAGAGTGTTTTAATTTTTGCATCTTCATACTAATTAAAAGTCGTCTTTGTAGGCTAAGCTTCCTTTTTTAAAAGCATTTCGATATCTATATTAATTCTTTAATCAAAATTCAAACTGCGTATCATCAAGGACGAATGACAAAGATGAACGAAGAGAACGCGAACGAGAGTGACATAAACCAGAAAGTGAAAAAGAAGGTTTTTCTTTCGATATTAGTGATGCTTCACGACCAGAACAACAAGAACTAAATGGATTTTTCCCAGTGTTAATCCCTCAGATACTACTAATACCGTACACATAAACAACAAGGATAAAGAGAACAAGAGGAAATACAAAAGCATCACTATCATCCGATATCATCACAAATGTCATCATTCGGCAACAGTTCAATCGATCAAACTACTCCATCATCTTTCCCACCATCTTCTACGCCACTATCATCAACTAATCTATCGGGATATACAGAGACACAAATAAATCATTAAGTGTGGGATCGCTTGAACCTTATAAAACTACATCTGAATTTATTCTCGTAGTGAATTAGACGATAAACAAAAACAACAAATTTCTCAACAAATAATTCCGTAAACACAACAAACACGATATGGAGAACAATGAACCAAAAGGTAAGGAAGGTTTACCTGAAACGGTTCCATTACCTGCGACTCCTGCTCCAATTAGAACTGAATATAGCACATTGCTTGACGAAGTTGAACCAAAAAGTGAAGAGCAACAACAACAACAACAAAATAATCAACCAATGACTGAACTGGCCGAAACGGTAGATAAACCCATAAATACTAACATTTATACTGAACCACCAGGTCGCACTGAAGAATCTTATGATGCTCAAAAAGGCGCTGCTGCGGAATATGGCATTGAACGTGGTGAAGAAGAACGTGAAGAACCAATTGAAAAAGAAAAAACCACTCCCATTATTCCATCTTCAATCGCCCACAAATTCGAGGTACCATCAATAAAAAACATCTGGCACAAATACTTGGTCCTTCGTATCCTGGTTTACATTTTAGCCGCATTCTCTTCAATACCTGTGCTCACTCTTCTCGGCTGGTCAGTTGTCACGGCCACAATTGTTATTGGAATCGCCGGGATTGGAATCGCTATCGCTGAGTCGTGTGCTTTGGGATGCGGCAGTTGCGTCTGTTTTCCGGTTGTGAGTGTGTTGATGTTTGTTGCCTTTTTCGGTGCGTTGTTGGGTGGATTAGGTTACTGTGGTTACTATATTTTTGTGGGTATGTTGGCTTTAGCAGGTTTGAGTCAAGGAAAAAATGTGCGTGGTGGTGAAAGAGCCACCTGGCTATCTCAATTAGGCTTCGAGCGTAAGATGAAGGATGAATAAAAACGCAAAGAAAATATTCATGCTAAATAGTATTGCTATTGTTATAATCAACTATCGCTATCGCTTAAAGGACAGTACAACCCTCTTTTTATAATTATCTATATATAATAAATACTTGATTAATTGATTCAATATATTGTTTATTGACTCGATGAGAGTGTACGTCAAATGATTTCCATGTTTATAACGAGATAAAATCAAATTAATTCAAAAAGCAATCTCTTGACTTTTATTAACTTTTTTTATTACATGCTAAAGTTATTCAACAATTGTTTCATGGTTCAATGCATCAGATGGAAACTTTAGATTGTTCCGTTGTTCCTCAATAGGGAAGAATTCTTTTGTAGCTTGCTCCAACTCGTGATCATATCGTCGTAATCGAAATCCTGCGAGATAATGTCGACTGAGAGTTTGTTCCAAGAACCATAATTTCTGATTGATTCTCGCGTCGACATTTCTTATAAATTTTTGTTCATCCGTGTAAATCGGTGTTGTTGACATTGAAGATGTTGCGTCAATTTTTTGTTGAGTGGAAAATGAATTGTTGAAATAAAAGGTTGATCCTCTTCCGAATTGACTTTGATCATTTTCTTTATTGTTGTTGGTGGTGGTGGTGGTGGTGGTGCTATGAGATGAAGTAGTAGGTGAAGAAATAGTATTTGCTGGATTTTTGAATACGTCTTCAGCGGATATCAAAGGAATTTTGTTAGCATTAGGCGAATTCCGAAGTAAGTATCGTTGAATAATTCCCCATGATTTATATTTCCCGCGACCAAACAGAAATGCCCAAATTGCCAATGCATAAGTCAAAAAACCACCAATCGTACCAATCAGATCGAAATACGTGTATGGTTGTTTTTCGGTAAATTTAGATATCTGTATTAAACACAAGTTTTTGAATTTAACAAAATACACACATGTACATGTACGTACGTAGTATGATTGAATCGATTACCATATATGTATCTGGCGAATAAAATAATTTGAATATCATATTTGCAGCCCCGAAGCTTTTAGTTTGAACAGTATTTTGCTTTACAATGGTAAAATATCTGCTTACTTGACCCGATAGATCAACTTGCAGAAGCATTTTAAAAGTGATCGCGTTTATGGTATTTGTAGCCGTTACAAATGGTTTGATACTTTCAATTGGTTTTTCAGGGTTATATAATCCATATAATATTCCAATATTTCTAATTTTAATACTTGTATTTGCAGGAGCATATCCCTTGATCACGATATAATCAATTGCATTATTATTTTCAACCAGACTAAACTTTAGTTTTCCTTTTGGTTCAAAGATATAACAATTGCTGGTATTTGGGAACGCAAGCAACCAATCACCGGCCGACTTTAGAATCCACAAACGTTCGACACGATGCATGCTTCGATCACTAATCATTTGCGCTTCTTTTCCACGTGGCACCTTTTCGACGGTGATTCTTTCGACCAGGTCACTACAGACAAATGCATTTGTCACCTGAATTCCAGTAAGTGTCTTGTTTAGGCGTGCGATTGAAATCAATGGATCATGTGCATTGATGAGTTTTAGGATGTTTAGGATGGCAAAAGAGATTATTGCGGCTGTTAATGCAACAACGAAGATGATTTTTAGTGCTTTTTCGGTCTTCGAGTTTTTTGTGAAAGTTGTGAACATTATTGTTGATTATTGGTTGATTATTGATTATTGGTTATTGGTTATTGATTGTTGATATTTTGCTTTTCTGCTTTTTTGCGCAGAAATGACTAAAATAGAGATGTTAATTTTAGTCATCTACTACAAAAAGTTCCACTTACAATATGTATAGGTGGCTTGATAAATAGAAAAAACAAATGTTCTGTATTGCGTATTTTCGCACGCATATAGGTTTTTGAACAGCAATGAATGCAAAAATAGATGTCATTATTTTTCTGGCATCATCAGGGCTGGGTCCCGACTAAGATACTTGACTAAACTATTTTTGAATTGGCCAATGATTTCGTCATTTTGCAATTTTGCCAATAATCTTAGAGAACATGTTCTTAGAATAATTATATATTATAGTTCAAAACAATTTCGTCAAAGTTTCGCCATTTCGTCAGGTATCACTAGTCCCGACTTGGGATCTGACCAATGTAGTTTCTTTTGATATCACCGGATGTAAAAAATAGTGGATTCTAGGCTTATCGATATCGTAATAACGATGAGTTTGAAGATCTCGCTCGATTTATCATTGTTATCTTCCAAATGAACTCTGGCTTTAAATATTTTGAGAAAATTAGAATAAATGAAATAGAATAACAATACACTTCCTCTAGATGTGAGTAATGATATTGCTTTACCTCATCCTTGGTATCTGCATCGTTTAACGACACGTTCTTTTGGTGATTAATCTTTATAATACAAATTATTTGATGATGTTTGTATGCTATTATGTTATTTAATTCTTCCCCTATTCACGATGCGCTTCATTGACCATATTCAATAAACAAAATTTAATGACACAATAATCACCACAAAAAATTCATCCTTGTCAATTATAACAAAGTAAATGCTAACACAATCGATGCCTCTACTGCGTTGATAACGGAAATTATCGTAAAGCACTTGGCGTGTCTTAAGCAACAGAAAATGTTGCGACACTTACGATAATAAAGGTGAAGAGTAAAGAAGTTGATGTTTGAGATTGAGAATTTGAAGACTCATATTTCGTCGTTATTTGACGAAATAATATATGAATGCCTCAAATATTATCTTCGATCTTTTGAAGAATAGTACTTTTGTATAATTATAGTTTTCTTTCTAATTAGGTTTATGTGTATCTTGTACCATGAATATTCACAAATTCTCTAGTAATTATGTATTGACTTTTCTAAATTACAGAATGGAACTTTCCTATTACATGTACATGTTCATGTTATACATAATCGACAAATTAAATTACATATCGATACCAAATGTGAATTGATGAAATAAAAGTTTCGTGAAGTTGTTGGTTCAAAGACAATCGAAAAAGAAATTAGATTAAATGCAAAATAAAAAATAAATAAATAAACAGCTACATACTTCATCCATCCATCACATTAATTTGATGCCATATTTTGCAAGTTTCCTTGAAAGTATAGAGAAGGCAAAGGTATTCTAAGTTGTGATGAGTGACCTCCAGAAAGCGGATAAATATCTCATCGGGCGTTTGTAATGCTCGATTTGTTGGAAGGTTTAGCGTAAGAGATTTGATTGTGGGTCGAAGCTCTCTTGTCAGAATATTAAAAAACATATCATCTAAATTCTCGGTATATATCGATATGTCCAAATGATAATTACATGTATTTAGTAAAAATGTGATTATTATATTCGTCATAACTATATTATCAAATTATAGTATTCCATTTGCATGGCATTATAGTATCTCCCTATCACAGTACATCGGGTACTTACATTTACAAATATATTTTTAATTAATATTGCAGGAACTCTTAAATCGACAATATGTTTCATGTTAAAAATTCTATCAACTTCTTACCTAAGAAGTAAATCCAAAATTTGACCGGTAATATTATCAAGAAAATCCTTTTCTATGATATTACCGGTTAAAATTTGGATTTACTTAACATGAAACATATTGTCGATTTAAGAGTTCCTGAACCATAATTGTAAATTTTGATTTAAATCACTTCATTTCACAAAATAATCTGTTGTCAAATTATTTTTAAAATATATTAGTGGTTTCAAGGTTTCAACTGACCACATTTTATTTTGTTCGATTATATCAAAGAGGAAATTTTATAGAAGTGTTTTTGGGTGAGTTGTAAAAAAAAAGTTGTTCAGCATTTCAAGCTTGACAGAAGATTAAACACAGGTTGAAAAGGGTCAGTACACTAGAGGGGGGTGTGCAGAAACCTCTACAGGAACCCTGGATTTCCTAATGATTTCGTTAAGGTTCATATTATATTCGCCAAAATTCAAATGAATTACTGGGAAACTATCAGAACACTATTGGGGGAAATCTGAAATTCCACTAGAGGTTCCCTATTGGTGAAAACCTCTATGGTGCATAAAATATAAAGTCATCAAATGTTTGTATTTTGTAAAATGCATAAATTTCTTTACTAAGAAGTAAATCCAAAATTTAATCCGTGAAATATGCTCAGAAAAGACCTATTCTATCATATTCACGGAGTAAATTTTGTATTTACTTCTTAGTACATAAAATACAAACGTTTGATGACTTTAGATTTTATGCACCATAAGTGGTTTTATAGTGAGTTCTGGCGACCAATCAGAAATTTCAAAACAATATCGAGTAGCCAATCAATACCAATAGCTTGAGATTTTACGTATTAAGTAAACCAAGATTGGGCAACTAGTAAAAGATGCTCAGCTCGAAATTTTGCTTATAATAATATCTTGGGCGTTATAATTGTAAGTATAGGTAATCAACACTAATTGTATTAAACAAGTGTTATTACGGAAATTGATACCACTTTGTCGTTCCACTGCTTTTCACTTGGATTTTCCTAGTGGTAATAAAATGTCCTCTAACGGTTTTCTACAACAGAAACCATTACTAAACCTCCTCTTTTTACCAGTGAAATTTATTTAATTGTTTATTGTCAATCGTAAATTTTGTCAAAAAATTGTGCAGACTCTTTGGGAAGCGCCTCTTACTCATGAATTTCACCCATATAGCTATTATGAAAAAATTGCAAGAGTTTATGTTGGAAATTTCTCGAAAGAAACATGGAAATATTTACGTTCGAAGACTACAAATCCAACGTTTAATTACGCTTCATTTTTACGTTATCGTTATTCTAATCTAATATGTGCAAGTTATGCAGCAGCTGCATGGTTAAAGCAAGACTTGTATAATCCGACTAAAAAACAATTGGATAAGCGATTTCCTTGTGCAGACTTATATCTTCTTTACTTACCTTGAAGACTTGTTTTGAAACTGATAAGGAATTATGGAGTTTGTTCCCTAAAGAATGTTCAGCCCAAGAGTTATTTAAAAATCTTAAGGAACTAAAAATATACAAAGTTTCATTAGCAAAAAATCATCAGATGTTCTTTGAAAATCTGGCCAATTCACTCGTTATGTTTATGAATCCACAGCCGCAGACAAAAATACAATCGAAACATTGCGACACATGATAAATGCATAAAGTGGATTACAATTGATCCAACTATCTTTTTTATCCAGCACCGCGATCAAAATTATTTGTAACACTCTTTATCGTTCATCAAAAAACCTATTGGCGTCGACTTCTTTTTTTTAGTGCTGCTAATAGCGTAATGCCATTAAGCACGTGTAACGCTAGAACGACCATGTTGGGTCGAAATTGTTAATACTCTTCAATATTTTTGTCTGAAATCATATTAATTCTATCTTTCGCATTGACAAGATATTTCCTTTACTTATTTTTAATTCTCGCAATTCAATTTGTTCTACAATTACAGTATGTCCGAATCTTTATTATCTGGACATATGCACCAAATTTAGATAATATATTTAATATTCTGGAAAAAGAGCTTCGACCTATAATTAAATCTCTTAGTCTAAACATTCCAATAGAAGGAGAATTAAAAATATCGGATGAGTCATTTATTCATTTTCTGGAGGTTACCCATCATAACTTAGAGTACTTTATCCCCTATTTCAATAAATCTCATAAATGTTAATCGAGAGTTATGGCATAGTATGTAGTTAGTTATTTAATTCTTATTTTTATTTTATTTTGCATTTAATATAATTTATCTTTTTTTTATGCAAAACATCAATTTCTACTGAACGGCTTTGAGATTGTTTGTTATGCATATATTGATAAAAGAGAAGCAAACTATAATTCCTTTTATTTTTATCTAAAAATATAGTTTATTTATAGCGCATTAAATATTGATAATATCTCAATTTTATTTTTAGTCATTTTCTATAAAGTATCCGATCCTTGTTTAAAAATTTATATCATTTAAAGCTTAGGTTTTGACAAATATACACTACCCTAACAAAAATATTTGTTACAAGTTTTTTTTGAATTTCTTGAATTTTTTGATTTCTTGAATAATATTTTTAATCCATTGTGACTTTCCTTTGTATTTTATACATTCCCTGATTCACTTTGGCATGTTTTCAACTAATTCTATATAGGTTTCTGCAGATTTCTGCAGAAATTGTAACCCATTCTTGTAATGCTTTTTCAAAATTACTAAGATTTCTTAGACGCAATTTCAGTTACGAATTCTTCTTTCAAGATTATCTCACGTGTTCAATATGATTCAAGCTGGAGATCGAGAAGGCCAATTTGGAAGAACTTAATCTTGAACAACATCTTTGGCAATTAATGCCGAAAAATTTCAAATCATTTAATAAATCGGATAAAAATTTACAATCCGGCAAAGATCCAAAACATTGTTATAAAACTCCGAAATTGAAGGGCAAGCTCAAAATGCTTTTTACGTACATATTCACATTCTTTATAATGGACCTCCATTATCTAATAAAGTAGCCTAAACGAGCCTTTCTCTCACAAATCGTGACTTATTAGTTCTCTACACTTAAAAGCACCATGAGAAATTCTTGTTAATTTACTTATAAAAAGTTGTAATACTCAGAAGCATCAATTCAACAATTATTTATCTACTAGCAGAGATTTAGATCTTTAGGGTTTTATATTTTGAGCTGGTTTATGAAAATTGTTATGTAGGTGAATTTCATATTTTAATCAGTAATCCAAACTAATTTGTCTTAGAAATTTACTAATTAAAATTTTGATTTTTCAGCTTCTCAAAAATGATTAAAATAATTTGTTGTTAAAAATATTAAATTAAAAACGAGTGCAATTTTATTTTGTTTAAACTAATATTAACAGAGATGAAAATTGATTACATGTTCTATTTCTTGTATAAGTCACTATATACGTACATGTATATGCAAATCATCTAAGATGACAGATTTGCATTTCAGAACTAAAATTATTCATAATGAATGATCAAAATACTGTTGAACGAGAGTAGCTAATCCTGGTGAAATCCTCGCTGAGCGATTGAATCAAATCTGAAATTGTTAAATGTATTTTAGAGAACATGTCCACATATCAGTTCAAGTCTCAAAATATCTGTTTTAGTGATGCTTGTTGCAATAATTTATAAAATGTGATGTTATTACACAAAGAAATTTGAATCATTAGGTGATTCAAAACAAATTTCATTAATGTTTATTAATGAGGTAAAATAAACAATTTTTTAAAGTGTAAGCATTATGATTTTTTATTCAGACTTCTCTAAAGTGCGCTGGCTTTTTTATCTAGCTAAAACACAGCTGCCAGTGAATACTTGATAGTGATGGTTTACACAGAAAATGGCGATTTACGTAAATATATTAAGTCCAAATATGAAAATTGACTTGGAAGAAACACTACGATATTTAAATCATATTATTTTGATCCGAAAAAAATTCTCAAGAGAATCTCTTGCATCGTGATTTTCACTTTGGAAATAAAGATTTGACTGTGTAAACTGCTTTAGGTAATGTTTTGTTTTTGTTTATATTCGTAGAGATATTTTTTGCAGTACTATCTCCTCATCAAGTTCATCTAATTTTTGTCTTTCTAGTTCAAGACACTTTTTATTTTCTTTATGTGGATATTCTAGAAAGCTGTAGTACTGAGAATGTAAAATATTGGTTACAGATAAAATCTTCATGTTCCTCAGTAGTTGTCTGCTTCCTGGAATAGGATTCCAGCATTTAATAATAAATTTGCACAAGCCGGGAACTTTATTTAATAGTTTAGTACTCCTTTACAAATGTCAAATACGAGATGTATGTCATGATTTCCCAAACCTATAAATATCTGCAGCTTGAGTGTATGACTTTCTATTGGACTCAAATAAGTAAATACATGTACTTCGCAAATTTCCTTTTAAATTTATTTAAATTAGCTGGGCTGGCAATCATTTATTAATATATTTTCCGGATGCACAAATCCTTCATTGTGTATTTTTTCAGATCATTGATAAATATTTTTATCTTTGTTCCCAATTCAATTCTTTTTACATGTAATTGGAATATTGTATTTGCATCCATTACTATCGAGTATTCATTATAGCTGGATTTTTAGTTATTCCATAATATTTTGAAAAACTCCAATGTAATTTGCTTTGAATCATATAATGATTTCAACACAAACTCATGTTTACAATCTACTGTACAGCACTACATAAAGTACCTCCCTTTGGCGAAAATTTTAATTTTAATTTAGCCTCAAGCTAATCATGAGTCTTGATTTATTAATTTGAAGGTGCATTAAATATAATTTCAATTCTATTATTACATTCTTATGTGATCCATTTATTGATCATAAAAAGTTATTAATAATTTGTAAGACTAGTGTATATGCCAGAAAGATTTTTAAAATGAAAAATACAAACTCAAGCTGTTTATCGTTATTTTAAACATTAACCTATTAATATTTGATCAATCAATTTTTCGTTAAAAGTAAATTTCCCGTATGTAGCAACTCTGCTGGAATAGCATTACTCACAATTACAGGCTGCTCTATTCTGATATTACTAGTACCACTTAGCACCACTTTAACCTTGATTTTATGTTCTACTCTAATAAAAGGTCCGTTTGTTGTTGAAATAACGTTCTCTGGTACTCTAATCAAAAGATTATGCTCATTTATGAAATTGAGACTCTCAATTTTCGTTTTTGTCGCATATAATTTACCTAAAAATTTGTTTGCATGAACTTTTGCATGTACATATGTTTTTAAACCGTATTCGATCGACTTTATCAACACGTGAGGCTTTAGAATAGTAATATTTAGTCGTGCATTTATTTCTTCGTTTGGTGTGATATGTGTTTGGGAAAGATAAAATGACCATTGATATTTTGAATTTAGAATGTTTGATTGAGTTATTGGTTGATACATTCCTACAGTAGGGAAAGCGTGCCAAAAGACAGGGACATATGTCGATTTTTTAAGTGGAAAAATTTGATACCATATTCCTTTACGATAAATCTTGGCCTCAAGTTGATAGCTGATTTTACATGCATCAGTTTTGAAAGAACCGACTGCTGTACTAGGCAACTGAAATACAAAAGGGAATTCGCAATCATTTAAGACTTGATGAGCATTGCTAGTAAAAAGTGTCTGTGCTAAATCAAGTGTCTTTAAACATTTTCTGACATGAGTTTCTCCAACCGACCAATGTGCGGCGTGAGTACACGTTAAAGTGAGGAGTATTTTTTTCGTAAGCAAAGGGTGCTCTAATAACGATGATTTTATGTGTAATGAGCCTTGAATAGTCGAGTCCGTTATTCCAAGGTAGCCTGATTGAAATGTTTGGGTAGTGCCCGAAAAGGTAAAGTATATGAAATTTTTTGGATTTATAGGTGTTTGCGAAGGGCTGCTTGCGTTAACGTCGATGTTTCGTAGATAAATTTTTCGCACTGTCCGCAGCATGATATTATTTGTTAGACTTATAAAAAAATCGCAAGTTTTCCTGATAATAGCGATAGAAGCAATACTGTATTTATCGCTATATTTTATTGTTAGGATGTGCATGTATATGATAGAAGCAATACTGTATTTATCGCTATATTTTATTGTTAGGATGTGCATGTATATATATGTATGTATATTGATATCGATCATAACGATAAGTTTTATTATCCTTATAAGGTAAAGTTGATAAGCCGAAGATCTCGGACTTACCGGAAAAATATCACAGTGTCTGGATCGGAGGCTGGAAAGTATATTATAGACGATGACGAAACCCTTTCGTCACGACATGGCCACTTTGGAAATGAATGACGAATCGTGTGACGAATGACGAATCGTCTAAAAAATGACAATTTTGTCAAACTAATGCTAAACTGTAAAAACAATAGTGATAGTTAAGTCAAGCTTCATCAATTTATAGTTCAAAATTATACATTTTTTCTCAAATCTTCATAATGTTAGCCAAAATTCAGCATAGCCTTTGTCCAATTATTTTGATTGGTCAGAAGGTTTAGTCACAGGTTTAGTCACAGGTTTCGTCAATCGTCAGTCATTATGAAAATAGTTTCGTCAGGTATTATCGTTATTAACCTAACCATGGCGAAAAAAGGTGTCTGGTCATGGGATTCGATTCCAATATCTCCTTAAATCATGCACCAATCAGATCGCAAGACCAATGTGTATTGTGTTTGCTATATATTGTAAAATGCGACATAAAATATCCTGGTGGTATATCCTCCATGTTATTTATATGTATATCAAATTTATTCTAAAGCTACTTTTACTAATTTATTCAAAGTGGATAAAGAATGAAGTTAATTTGAATCATTTTAATTAATAATAATTCTAATAAATATTCATACTATAAAAAATATTTATCAATATTGCAAATTATTACAATTTCTTTACTTAAATTATCTTTTTATAAGAATGTATATATTAAATTAATTAGCTTATAATTAAAATATTTCATGAATAAACAAATAAATATTTTGGCTTACAAACTTTTTTATATGAAATTTATTATAAATAAATTAATAAAAGATGCAATAAATCAAAATTTTTGACTTGTGAAAAATTTATTTATAATCTAATAGAATATAATCTATTAACTTTAGAAAACTTGTTGATATTGTTACCATTTTGATTGACTTTCAAAATACTCAAAGATATTTATAAGATTCAAAGGAATATTTAAAGGAAACTTTCAATATCTCAATGATGATTCAAAATATTAACAATATTTTTTGTACTTATTCACATTCAGTCTAATAGTTATAAAGTACTTAGTGACAAAATTACTTAAATATTGATAATAATTTGTATTCTTTAAATGCTATAATCTGAACAGCTAGAAAGTGTCCTCAAAATCTTGAAGTCAAATATATAGAGATTATAATATTTGTATTAAATATAACTCAAAAACAGATTTATAAAAAATAATTTCTTTATTCAAATATAACTTCAATAAATCTCATTATAAATATGTTAAAGAGTTTATAACTAATCATTAAATAGTATAGTACTTGTCACAAACATGCTTAAATAATTAATACTTTATTTAAGAACTATATAATACTTATAACAAAAGTGTTAAAGTGATTATAAAAGAAATAAAAATATATTTTGTTAAAAAAATGTAGAGAGGAGTTTGTACTTGACTCTTATTTTATATAAAATGCAAATCTAGCTTGTATAAATAATTAAAAATACGTGATAACTAGTTATAAGATAATAATTGAGATTTACTATTATTAAAAACTTGTTTTTAATATAATTCTAATAACTATAATACATATTATTTTTATATATATTCAAATTATAACTAATACATGAATTTATATTTACTAGCTAATTTAAATTTTATTTTATTAGTTTAATATTTGCTTATTTGTTTATTTAATTACTTATTTGTTTACTTATTTTTTGTTTACTTATTAAGTTACTTATTTATTTTATATAATTATATTCTTTCAATAAAATATAAGATATTTATAATTTAATAATATTAAATATAAATGATCTAGTAAAATATTCAATCAAAATTTATTATATAATATTATTCTTTTTTAATTATTTTTGATAATTATTTTAATATTTATGAAAAGATTATTGTTTTTGTTTTGCTAAAAAATATTTATAATATTAATAAAATAATTTTGTAATTTGTAAAAAACAAGATTTAATAAAAATATTTCTTTTTTATAATTTTATTTTTAATAATAACTAACAAAATAAAATATAGAAAAAAATTATTTTTAAATTAATTAAATATTTGATTATAATTTTTATTAATATTTTTAAAACTTATATATAGTTATTATATTATTATAATTATATTATAAAATTATTAATTCTATAATTTGTAATATTTTACAAATTTATAAAAATTATATAAAGAACTTGAAATATTTTTAATAATAAAGTAAAAATAAAAAAAGTGCAAATTATAATTTTAATTCAGATACTAATCATTTAATATTCTTCTTAAATTATAATATATAATATTAAATAGAATTTCAGTTAAAATTAGAATTAAATTTAAAGTCAAGCTTATTATATAGCAAATATAAATTTAATATATAGTAAAATTTAGCAAAAAAATATCTTTTATTAAAACACAAAAAATAATTCCATATACAAAATTTAAGATATAAGTTATTTTTCAAAATAAATATTTGTTTTATTTATTTTTGAATTTTTGCATTGTATATTGATTTTGTAATTTGATTTATATATAATTTTAAAAGGAATACTAGATAATTAATATTAAAATTAAATTATATTTTGCTTTTTTTTTAGTTTTACTTTGATACTTGAATAATTTATAATTATATTATATATTATTAATTATTATATTTATTTATTTTTATATATTTATATTATTATATTTTTATATTTTTATACTTTTATACTTTTATACTTTTTTATATTTTATAGTTTTATATATTTATATTTTATTCTTTTTTGTTTATTTATTTTAAGTGAATATATTTTAGCCAATTAAAAATTTTTGAAATTTATTTATTTATTTTTCTTCTTTATTTTACTTTTCATATTTAATAAATTGAAACTCTATTTTTAGTTAGCATATTTATTTTTTAAATATTTTTTTATTTTTAATAATATATTTATATTTATTTTTTATATATTTTTTTATTTTTAATAATATATTTATATTCATAATAAATATATAAATACAAGTTATAATTAAGTTTTAACTTAATATATCAAAACTTAAAAATAAATAACATAATAAAATAAATATCTTAACAATTAAACAATTTGTTTTCTTTCTCAATTATATTTTAATATTTTTAAACAATTAGCTTTGAATTATATTAAGTTAATCAAATTATTATTATTAAATTATTTAATTAATATTTTGTTATAGATTAGTTTTTTGATATTTTATTTTAATTAAATTATTTAAATCTTTCAATTAAAAATATCATTATCTTTTTCTTGTAAAAGAAATAAAATAAAAGAGTTTTTGTTATTTTTGTTATTGTTAGCTTTGAAATATATTTATATTAGTACAAAAAATTAATATTTTAAATTAATATTTTATTTGATATATTAATTAAAATATTTTGTTTAATAAATATAATTAATCAAAATTAATATTTCTATAAACTGAATTGAACTAAACTTTTATCTAAATTGAGTCTAATTCAAATTTAAATTAAACTCAAAATTAGACTTTAGTTTGAGTTCAAAAAAATTTAAAGTTCAAACTAAAATATTATATAAGTTCAAGTCTGATTTAAGTTTAATTAAAAATTAGTATATAGTATTATATATCAATTTATATTTTAAATAAGAACTAGAATTTTAATATAAGTACTAATTAATATTTATTAAGAATTAAAAGTTTACTTAGTAATAACTAAATTATTTTTATTTTTATAATTATTAAATTTTATCGTAAAGTCTTTATATTTCTTTAAATAATAATTATTATTAGACTATTTTATATCAAATTATAACTCTTATTATTAATTATAATATTACTTATTATTAGAACTATTTTATATCAAATTATAATTCTTATTATTAATTATAATATTACTTATAACTATAATTTTTAATTATTATAACAAAATAAAGAATAACTAAATTAAATTAAAATTATAAAAATTAAAAATTCTTTTTAATTCTAAATATTTTTTTGAATATTTATTTTTAATATTAACTATTTTATATTAATTATAATTCTAATTCAGATTTATAACTTTATATTGTCATTATTTTACTTGATTTTCACTTTTACTATATTTTTTTATGTACTCAATACATATTTTAAGTCAAATGAAAGAGATAAGATAAATAACTAGAGGTAATAATATATATTTATTAAATACTAGTTAACTAAAAAGTGACTTAAGAAATCTTTTTATAAATTAATAATATAATAATTATAATAATAGTTTATAGATAAGTAAAATATTATAAATTTAGTTTATTAAATTATTTTGATAATATAATATCATTAATATATAAAAGATCAAACTATAAATATAATATTACAAATATATAAGAGGATATTGTTATAATATTATAAATATATAACAAAACTAATATAAAACTTAAAAACTTAAATAATAAAATAATAAAAAAAAATATAATTTTTTAAAAGAATATTATTATTAAAAGAATTATTAATATTTTTATAAGAACTTGCTTAACTTGGCTTAACTTTTCTTAATTAATTTTTCTAAGTAAAAATATATATTTCTTTTATAGAAAATTATTAAATTAAAACTATCAATAATATTTACAAGAAAATTGCTTATTCATTTACTTGATTATCCACTTATTTATTTAACTTATAATCTAATATATATATAAATTATCTAATATAATATAAATAAATAATTTATATAATATTTATAAATAATAATATAAATAATAATATAAATATGATATAAATAATAATATAAATAATAATATAAATAATA